CTGTGGGAATAGTGCTCCATCCTCTTGAGGACGAGCGGTCAATGGTCTAGCCGCGAAGGCATACAAAACATGAGTATGCTCCCAACCTCTTTTATTTTTTTGCAGGTGTTTCTGCGGAAGAACGCTCACGACTTCCTGGAGATGATCCGCTCCCAGCGCATCACGTCGGCCGCGGTGACGCTGCAGAGAGTGGCCAGGGGCTTCGTCTACCGGCGCGTGTTTTTCGCCACTAAGCACGCCCTGCTGCTCATCCAGAGGATGTCAAGGGGCATGATCGTGAGTCTGCGTCTGAACCTGAGTCCCTCTCGCCTGTGGATGGATGCCTGCGTAGTGTGCTCGTCCACTTCTTAGTGCTAGCTCAGCAGCAGAAGACTACGAAGCATGGGTTACACTGAAGACTCGAGTGTTTGCTGGCATCAATTGCTCCTCTTGCCCCCCTCCCTCGATTCGTTATTTCGTTATTTTGTTGTGTTCCTTTTATTGGTACGCCGTGCGCAGGCCGATATTGTCCATCAGTAGTTGTTTCTCGCTTTTTTTTCCATTCTCTCTTCGGAAGCAACAAACGATTGTTTTGATTTTTTTTGCGGTACTTGATAGTTCAGAGGCACGTCCGTCTAGCTTTTTTAGGACTATCAAGTGTCGTTTGTGAGGTTCTCCCTACGCTTGCCGTGCATCGTTTACGAAGGCGTGGCGCATATCCTCCCGCACTGCCCCCTCTTTCGAAGGACGGCGCACGAATAATTTCCGTGCAACCAAGTGCTTGTATTGCCCCCATGTAGGGCTAGAATATAGACACCTTGATTGCAACGTGCCGTTGCTGCATCTAGTCCCCACGAGTCCCCCGCACACCTCACACCCCAATACCAAATAAGAATTTGGACAAGAAATTCAGAAGGATTGTCGAAAGTATGAGCGCCATGTGTCGGGGAAGCGGACGACGCTGGCCATTCAAGCGGCCCCCTCTTCCTCTCCTCTCGCCCCCACGATTATGACATGCTCCATAAATGTGGATACAATATTCCAACCCTTGCCCCCGCGTACCCTCTACCGCTTTTCCCCTTATCTCTTTGAAAACCTCTCGTACAACTTGGTTCTTCTTCTCAGGCACGGCGGAAAGTAGAGCACATGCGCCGGATGCGGGCGGCGCTTCGCACGCAGACGGCCTACCGGCGTCACTTTGCGAGGAAGAACTTCCTGTCCATCAAGGGAGCGGCCCTCGCCCTGCAGTGCGCAACGCGCTGGCGCAAGGCCGCCAAGGTCCACACCGAGCTTAGGTGAGGTACATCTCCGGTAGATCTCACTCACTCC